ATTGTTGACCGTTTATTGTGAAATAGTATATACTTTTCATCTCGTTTTTCCCTATTCTCTCTCTTTCTCTCTCTATCTCTTTCTCTCTCCCTCACATCAAAAGATAGCAGACGGATATTTTTTTTCGTTTGATATTGATCGAAATCGCATCATTCAAACTCCCACCATATCTCGCGCGAAAAAATATTATAACTTCAATGTTTTATTGAGCGATAAGGCAACACGAGCATTAAATATTATCTACGCATTGCGATTTAGGTTTGTACAAATGCTACATCCATCGTAGATTACAGCCGAAAACTTACGATAAAGATATATGACGCTGTTAAAAGCATGACGATGTTCTGCCATGTAGTGTTATCATGTGTATTGGTTTTTGCTCCGATATAGCATTCAATGCTCTACAATTACTTTTCGTTCTATATTCTGATTATAACACATCGTTACAAATCTTAAAATTTTATTAAAATAGTTCATATTGTTAAAAAAATGTATATGTATATGTGCAACTACATTTTTTTATCATTTCACTTATAAATAAAACACTAATCATAAAATAAACATTCTACTTTTATGTTTAGCAATAAAAATATGTGATAAAAGTCAGTAATCAGTAGTGCAATAAAAAAATATATTTTTTCAATAAAACATATGTATACACTTCTCATTTACGTAACATTTCTCAACCAATGCTAAATATATAAATTCTTGATATGCGAAATACATACTTTGATTAATTTAAAACTTTCATGTTATTTAATAATAATTTTGTGTGTAAAATCTCTAACTTCCTCACACACACACACACACACACATAGCATACCTAAAAATATATACATCAAATATGCAATAAAAAATATACATTATTAATTCTAATATTTATCGGATGGTGAAAATTTCACAATTAAATAAACAAATAAAAAAACTTGTAAATATCGACATCCTTATTTCTCCTTTGTTTCTTTGATAGCTGCTCTTTTAACAATTTTAGCATTTCTTTTATGAGAGAGAATTAATATCTACGTTTATATGCATGCAGCGCAATATCTTGTTGCACAGGCATATACATACGTATGTATGGAATCTCGTTAACTCGTTAACAGTGATAGCGCGCAGCCAGTCTTTTCGCTGGATTTACGATCGTTTTATCAACCAACTTGCAAACGCTAATGGCCCGTAAGAATTTGCGGAATAACAATGTACCGTCAGGACGAAGAAGTGGCCGTGCACGGCGTTTCGTCTATCGGTCGCAGGAACGTCGGAGCGTGTGCTGCTTTTTCAATGAGGATTCAAGAGCTCAATTTGCATGCACGACAATTACCAAGCATCGAATCCATCAGAGCGGAGCCATCGGTCTCGTCGTAAGAAGAGAGGATATAACGAAGATACTAGAGAATGAATAAAAGCATGGAAGGAAGTAGAAGGTGAAAGGTGTGCGAGAAAGAGAGAAAAGAGAGAGAACAAATTCCTTTCATTACGCCAAACGATATCGTTAAATTGAGTGTTTCCGAATGAGATGTTTCTTGCTAACGTAAGATGAGTATCAAACATATTTTTATGCTATTTACACAATTTGCCACTTGTATCAATTTTTATTTGTTCCAACTTTTTGCGATTTAAAACAGAAATATATACCTATATTATTATTAATATATGTATAATTTATGTTAACGTCATATTAAATCGATATTTTTCTGAATTATGAATTAATATAATTTATATAACGTGCAAGTTGAAATAATTATTCACGATACTTAAATGTTAATATAAAGGCAAACATTTGTTACGCATAACATAATAGTTACTTTTAACGTAATAATGATCTACTTTTGCAATTGTTGACTCAATATATTTCGCCTTTCCGACAATTTGTAATTTTATGTTAAAAAAATAACAGTATGCGTACCTATTGAGAGAGAGAGAGAGAATGCTGTAATGTAAATTAACGCATACAAATTGAAACTAAATAATGTTTTCCTGCAGATGTACTGACCGTAGCTTATGTGCATTGAAAAAAATATAAGCTTCCAGATCATAAGTGTCTTAATTATATGGATGTAAAGATAAGAATGCAAATGATACCGATATAAATAAATACATGATGTAAACAAGTCCATTTGATCGTTAAGTCTGTTTTAAAGGTATTGCCTGCTAAAGAAATCGATTCAGTCTGCAATAAATTCACGCTTTCTTGCGTATCTATTGCGCCAAGAGCATGTATCTGTGCAATAATTAAATCTCAGAATCACTAAACGTTCCGAACATGTTAAAATTAAAATAAAAACATATAAAAAAAACCAGTTGGTCTTGTGCCAAAAACATAATTTTGATTTTATAATTAGACTTGAGAATTCTTTTATGAATATTTAGATTTGCAAACTCACATTAAATCGATATTTTCTGAATTATGAATTAGTATAACGTGCAAGTTGAAATAATTATTCATGATACTGAAATGTTAATATATAAAGGCAAACATTTATTACGCATAACATAATAGTTATTTTTAACGTAATAATGATCTACTTTTGCAATTGTATTATACGCTAATTGTAAGAATTCAACGGTCCAACGTCTCAAGAATTATATACCGATGCTCACTCACACAAAATGTAAGTTATCTGGACAATAAGCACAGCATAGGTTCGATTGCTTACTATCTTTCGTGTTGAAGTAAAACGAGACAATTGTTCAATGGAACAAATATAGAGCAAACACAGCGATTACACAAGAATAATTGGCATGCTTAAAGCAATTGTCTATTTTTAAATCGCATAGATATTCATAACTACAAAATATAGAAGAAAATTGTTTAATAAAACTTTATTCCAATTATATTATATTATTCTACAGTAATTGATTTGTCATAAAAAGAACAAAGAACTTTTATTCTATACAAAAAATTAATACCGTGTAAAATATAAATTCACTATAGAAATTAATTTTCTTCCATTAATTTTAATTAAATAAATTAAATTCATTATAATATTAATTATCTCAATTAGAATATCTTAATTTTGTCTATTATTGACTAATAATTCGACAATATTATTTTACTTTTCTGATTCTATATTCTATAAATATATGGTTAATTAAAAATACTTGTTTTACCATAAATTTTAAACAATATAAAAAAGCATTCATTGTGGATGGATTGAAAGTGCCATAACGGTATATCGAAGGGTTAAAACACACCTCGTTTCTTGAAAACAGAATCGCGGAGAGCACGTCGTAGGCACCGACTGCATCGGTTCACCCTTCCGCATGCTTTTTGGATCTCATGCAGCAACGAGATTAAACGGCCCTTCTGTACACGACGGCGCGTTACTTACGCAACGTTATGTGCGCACCGTCGAAGGGGAGAAAGAGCGGGAATGAGTGGGATAGAGAAGAGGTACGCGCGGAAAGACTGGAGCAGAGGGATAGAGGAAGAGACAGGGACGCGCGAACTACACGCGCGCGATGAACGACAGAACGAGCAAGAGGCAGAGTCCAACAAAAACACAGAAAGAGAAAGAGAGACTTCACGCATACACGCACGCGAGACGCACACCGTGACAGTAGGATCGTCTACAAAGCACAACGCGTGGGACAAACAGGAGTGCGTTCCAGCAAAGAAGCTTGTCGAAATTATTGCATTTTTTTTAAATATGATTTTTTTCTTCCATATATTAAGTCGCAATTTATAAATATTAGAATACGCAATTTAAAAATGGTTTTCAACACAAATAGCTACTTGTTCAGAAAATTTAAATTGTTCAAATATGTACATGTCCAATTGAGTCTCTTTCTTTCGTGACGGTGAAGGTCGGAGGTCTCGGATCGCACATATTAAAGTAACAAAAAAAGCAAGACACTATTGTAGACTAGATACTTTATCTTCTTTTTCTCAGAATCTCTGATTTACATTTTATTGATAGACTGCACGATCAATATTGAATAAACTTTTTTTTAAATTAAAATCCCATTAATTCATCTATAAATCTCAAGTTACAAGTGATTAAAAGTGAAGAGGTTTTACGAGAACTGTAAGACTTTGCAATACAGTTATATAACAAAACTATACTTTTTACTTAATTAAAAATTAAAATAAGCTTTTCCAAAATTTTGATTTAATTATGCAAAATTTAACTGCAATATTCTGCAGCTTAGTAAAAGTGCCATAAAGTTTTAATTATCTAGAAATAAAATCAATAATCAAGCAGATGGCTTGTTCATCAATATTTCTATTGCATTTTCACAATATGTTATCTTACAAATACTTTCAGCAAAATATTTTTTTATCAGATTCCATTGCATCAAACCGATATGCATTTAAAGAATGAGCCATTGCATTTTCAGATAAGGAAGTATTAATACTTAATTACGTTACAAAGATCAAAAAGTTTCATTTGCAATAATAAATATTTAATTACATTGCAAAGATCAAGAAGTTTCATGTGCAATTATATTTATCATGCTCATCATACTTTTCCCACATTCTTTATGTTTCTAATTTATAATAGACAAAATCTATATGTATTATAATTGTATACTGTATGCAATTAGAAAGCACACATATTGATTGTGAGTGAATATATATCTCACGCATATATAAAGAACCAAAATTGTTGTTATATGATGTCCCAATCCACTCCAAATAGTCTTAATTTAATCAAACTTTGCCATTTTACTGACCAAAAAATCTAATTTCTCACTACACTTCTAACTTCCGACAATATCATACTCTAGCTATAGTAAATATGTTTTGTCGGTGTGAAGTGTGATTATCACATTACCATTTATTGGTAAACCTAACTTTGATCGATATAACATTCCAAATACGCAACAGATCTCGACGCATCCGAAATGCATTATTGCGAAAATTTTCCCAATTTCGTGCCACAATACATTATTGTTACGAAACGCTTCTAGCAACAGAAAGATATACGTACCACCGCCGTCCGAGGCGCACGATGCGTGGAACAAACAGAGGAGCGCCAGGGCGAGGAGACTCGCCATGCCGCCGTCGCGGACGCCTCTCATCTTTCCTGAGCTTCCGCGGGAGCTGTCGGTGGTCCGCCGTGGTGGTCGCGCTGTCCGCTGTCGCGGATCCGCGAGGAATCGACCTCGCGGTTTTCCGTTGAGGGCCACCAACCTTGGCCGCCGCGGTTCAGCGCCGATCGCGACAAAGTCGCGCGCGAGACTCGCGGGCGGCGACGATCACTGTCACCGACCACGGTATCATCCTCCAGCGACCGCGGGGATGAGGCGAGGAATCGCCCCGCCGACAAGATACTTGTCACCGCGGTTGTTGCCGCTGTCCGTGCCGCTGCCGATGCCGTCGATGCGCGGCGCTCACTCGCATAAGAATGCTCGCGTGAAAGCACTTTTCAGAGCAAACGTGATTTTCAGCTGCACGCACATACGGTGCTCACCGTGCGTCGTCGTCTTTCTGCGAGCGTGTGTCGTGTTCCGAATGTACACGCCATCCGCTTACATCGCTTGGAGCGAACGTCGCTCCAGCTCGCGTTTCCTCTTCTACCGATCGAATAACACTGGGGGGATCGTCGCTTGAGGGATGAGGAGCGGTTCCGGAGACGCGGAGAGCGGTTTTTCCGCGTGAGCGATGATCCTTCAGATACACTTCATCGCCGTAGTGCGACGTCTCCGCCGCGGAAGGCACGCCGCCATTTTCCTACCGACAGGCCCGGCCTATTGCCCTCCGATGAACACGCCGAAGAACTGTTCGCGAATTCGAACGAATTCACTGGGTTACACACGAGGATATCACTAACACCCGTGCGTCAGCAGATTTGACCTTGCGAACGTAACGTCTTGCCACTCATTATCGTCACCGTTGTCGTCGTCGTCGTCGTTGTCGTCGGCACGCCGCAACTTCGGCGCAATCTCGTCGCGGCTGTCACGCGGCTCGCTCACTAGAGCGACTTTTAACGCGGATCGTCAAGCAACGACTCATGTCGCTGCTACTGCCGCCGCTACTACCGCTGCTCCTTCAGCCGATAACGCTTCATGAAACACGTCGCGGATCGCAACTCACAGGCCTTTTGCAGGGCCGTATATAACTGCGTGTTCCATCATCGCAAAATTTCGTTTCGCTAGTATATATGCTAAAAATAACACACGAGGTGAATCAATTTTGGTCATATTAATAAAAAGATAATGATATAAAAAAAAAACGATTTTCTTTCTAATGTAATTGTACTCCAAACACGCTGTAGGGGCTCCGAAAATTGATAAAATTTAATACGTACAATTATTAGTTTCTAGCTTTCGCAGATCTGTATGACACTAAACTTTGAAAATAAAATAGTGAATTAAAATAATTAGAAATTTTATACTGATTTATAATGAAAGCAATTTATCTATATGAGAACGATATATCCAAGTGAAAGATAAACAAAACTTTTGCAGAAAATATTAAACAATCGGATAATTATGAGGATATGCATTTCAAATTACAACTTACATTTTTCAAAAATATAAAAAAATTCTTGCAATGGCAATTTTACTGTATCTTAATTTATCACATATGTAATGTCAAATCCAAGTATTAATGAAGAATTGATACACTACTGCAATTTGCGCATGCGTAAATTTTATGGTCCAACATCAAAGTTCTACAAGTTTTACTTATAAAGTAATTTGACATACATCATTTGTATCAAATGCAATTATTATAGAAAAGTTTCAAAATTCTATAATATGTACGAAAATATTATTTGATAGAAATACAAAAGAAATAAAATTAATATAATACTTGGCATAGTTACGATACGATTGTACATTAATTGTCAAACGCACATTTTTTTATAAACTATATGTAACGCATACACTATGCATTTAGATTTAATTTATAGAATGTGTATACGATTAAAATGATGTTGGAAAAAACAATAACAATATATAATGTCCTTAAAAATTAATTATTCATATAGTAAATATAATTCAATCACACATAATAATTTTAATAATTTATTATAAGCTTAAATTAAATATCTTATTATATACATTGTTATATATTTAAATTTATTGCAATAATTACAGTAGACAAAATATTTTGTAAAATGTTTTTGTAGTTTTAGATGTCTAAATATATTAGAAGTGTTAAAATAGTCAAATTAAAAAGGTAAATAAATGACATGTAGGTGTTCATATAACGTTTAAAAATGTTTCACTTTTAATTTATTATTATATTTTGCTAGAATACAATATTGCATACACATACTCTCTTCATTCGAGAGTTAATGTATTGAAGTTGATATTATATCTAAATTGAGATAATTACAAGAATTCGTAAGATTTTATGTTATCTTTTTCAAATAAATAATACTGAAATGTATTGAGTGAAAAAGTTGTCTATTCGACGTACATACATACGATTGTTTTCGCTTCTTAATATGAACTATCCTTTTCATTATACTATTCACGTTGCTCAACAACTACCTTAATTCTGATTGGATAATCCGCTTGAAAAAACACCATAAAATCTTACGAATTTCCACGCTTTTGTCATACTAAATACGATAAAGTAGAGAATCACTATATTTATATGTAAAATAGAAAAATGTAATGTATATTTCTTTATCTATTTATCCTTTTAAACATTTTAGATAGTTCCATGATGCATCATTTAAAGCAAAAAGTTAAAGCGCATCATTAAAGCCAATATAATTTCGATGAATTCGATTTTCGACGCCATATGTACATTATATATAAAGAATAGCAAATATCTTATAAATTTCACTTATTCATCAATAAACATAACATCATTTTCACATGTAAATGATACTCAAGTATAAACTCAATGAGATTATACCTATTCAATATCAAATTGATTTAAAATAATATAGCGTTAAACTGTGCCTAAGACAGCCCCGTTTTCTTTTTAAAAAAGTTTTATTGCATAAAATATATTTTAAAAAACTTATTAAATAGAAATTTAATAAGTGGAAATAAATAAAAGATTCATGCAATATCTCTCATTTGTTAAAATATTTCTGGAAATGCATAGTCAATCTCGTAACCTTCCTTTCTTTCTTAGTTCATGCCACCAATTGTAGGAAATTGATATATACATACATACTTATAACGTAAAATAATATTGCATGTAACTTATCTATGCATTGCATTGCATTGCATCTTATCTATGTGTATGCGCAGTCTAAATTGATACAATCATTAAGAAATGAATAATTAGAAAATGTCTTTACAAATTAAATAAATTTATTAAAATATCATCAATTAATATATTCATTGAAATTCGATATCGTCATATTTCATCATTTAAAAAATGCATTTATACGTAGATTAACTTACTTAATAAAATTCTCGCAATAGATTATAGATATTATTTACCGAATTGAAAATATACTAATAGATTGGTCCATTGTTTTAAATTTGCGTTTGACTACCCCATGCTCTTGAAATTGCGTGAAATCTCGTGAGCCTCTTGCCGATAGTCTGAACAACAAAACCGATCCTTTGCAATTCGTCATGATTCAAAATTTTTCTCCCATCAAATATATATGCTGGTTTCATCATGTCTGCATAAATCTGCGTGTAATCCAATTCCTAAAAATTGTATGTAAAAACGATAAAATATCTCTTAAGAGTATTAGCATAATATTGAACATAATCACATAAAAAAACTAGTTATTACCTTAGCGATAAATTTTACATTATTCGGATTAAATAAATTATTAAAGTAATAAAATATAATCTCTCTTATCAAAAAATTTAAAGTTGTTTATCTAATAAAAATATATAAAAATCTATAATAAATATAAGAGAGAATTTATCTATACAAATATATTTCAATAAATCTATCTAGTAAGAAAAATAATTAAAAGTTTTATAAACAGAATGTAAATTTTATTATTACAGATATATTTTAATTTATTAAAGATTTAATTTATATATAAAATATTATAGAAAATTCTGCAGCAAACAAATTGTATTAAATGTTTTAGATTGCTTATCTTTTTACATCATCAATTAATCAAAAATTTTTTTCCATAATTACGGATTATTGATAGAAGATACTCACGCAAAATTCATCCCATTCTGTACACAACACAATAGCGTGAGTATTCCTCGTGGCACTGTAAGCATTCTTATAAATACTGATTCGATTTTTTACATCTTCGGGATTGCTTGTTACACTCGGATGAGTCAAGTCTTGGATAATTTGAGCTTCTTCAACCTATGCATTAGAAAGAAATTGTACAAGAAGCGTAATATATTCATTGGCAATTACTCATTAATAAAATATCAACATAATCTAAGAAGCTTATCTTATTTTATACACATTAAAGAGATTTGACATACATATGTAAAATTCAGAAATCCAGTTTATTCAGAAAATCTAATTGGCCTTTTAAGTATTTTCTTTGATTAATTTTCAATTATTAAAAAAAAAATATTTGATACCTTAAACAAAAATTAATTATTTAAAAACTAGATATTTGATACTTTTAGTAAAATGTTATTCAATTCAAAACCAATAGTATGAAAAGTACAAATGTTGTTCAATTCTTATTAAATTAACATATTAAATATCAATTCAATAAACATAAATTTCAACATGTAAATTTATTAAAAATACTTATTAAAGTGCAAAACATTTAGAACATATATGTAAAAGAGAGAAAGTGCTAACCTTGGGATCGTAAATGTGAAGAACAGCACCTTCGTCCAGTAATGTCTTGGCAACGTGGATCGCTGGTGATTCACGCGTATCTCCTGTATTTTTCTTAAAGGCGAAGCCTAGCATAGCGATTCTCTTGTCCGTCACGGTGTTGAAAAGAGATTCTATGACCTTCGCAGAAAACCTTGACTTTTGATATTCGTTCATATTAATCACTTGTTGCCAATATGCAGCCACCTCTGGCAGATTCAGACATTCACACATGTACACAAGATTTAATATGTCTTTTTGGAAACAAGAACCTCCAAAACCGACCGATGCGTGAAGAAATTTGGAACCAATTCGAGAATCAAGTCCAATTGCTCTAGCGACTTCGGACACGTCGGCACCCGTGGCTTCGCATACCGCCGACAAAGAATTTATGCTAGATATCCGTTGTGCTAGAAAAGCATTTGCAGCCTAAAATCAAAGAAAATCGAGTGTTTGTCACAATATATCACTGCATTGAATTATTGCAATTTACGAGTTATTATTATATTTTGCTGTTTCTCAAGATTATATAAACTTGATTTTAATTTTATTTTAATTTTATTTTAATAAATAGTGATAGTTTATTAATAAATTGTAAAACAAGTTTTGCGGAAAAGTGAGAGAAATAATTAAGGTTTTAATAAATTTTAATAGATATTGCTTCAGTAAAGAAATCAAAAATTTATTCATTAACAAAATTATTTATAAAATTGATTACATAAAAGTCGAAATTACATTAAAATGTGTGAAATAAATTATTACTTACCAACTTCGATAATTCTGAGCTCCATGTATTCGTTGTCAAAATATTTTCTCTTGGGATCCAATGTTCGTAAATTTTGCAAAGTTCTTCAATAGCCGCCTGTCCTTCTGGAGAATCTTCTCCACCGATAAGCACCCGATCTGCGTTCACTAAATCCTCTATAGCGGTTCCTTCGGCTAAAAATTCTGGATTCGAAAGAATCTGAAAAATAATTAAAATTCGTAAATTAATTAAAGAGACAAATAATCTCAGTGAACATGCAAAGGATAAATCGATGCATAATGGTAAGATTGCACTTGAAAAAGAAATTATATGATTGAACAAAATAAAGAAGAATCATAGCTTGAATAACCAGAATTAATTTAAACAAGCATGAAATTAACATTAATTCTGATATAAACTATTACTATTTATTAAAATAAAATTAAAATAAAATTAAAATCAAGTTTATGAAGCAGCATCAATATTTCCTAATTTTTACTTAACACCATATTAATGTTAATAAAGAATAAATTGCTCAAAAGATTGTAGACAAATTATCAGTATTATGAGTGAACTTAAGGTGTTAGTAAGCATTAGTAAATATTACTCCTGATAACTAACTGATAAATACATATATCATAAATATTCTATTAAAAAATGTATAAATATATATATATGTGTGTGTGTGTGATGTGTGTTATTTGCATTTGTTGATAAGCTTGCCATAAATCACAAAATTGTTTATGACTATACATTGATAAGTGCAAAAATAAAACATAAAAGAGAAATAGATAAAATAAATAAAAATATTGTTTAGAAATTACTTAAACATTATTAGAGCATTAAATATCGCATAAATAATATAAAAAATTTTACTAATAACCAAAACTTATGCATTAATAAACGCTGAGTTTCGCAATTTTAATCGGTAATTTTTTTCTTTCTATGCTTAGTAAATATCAACAGTAAAAATAACGTAAAAATATATTATTTTTTAATTAAATATACCAAATTATTGTAAGCAATTTTAATGAAATTAAAGCCACAATTATAAAACAAACCTTACTTTAAGAAAAACGCTTGACAACATGTAAATATAATGACAGGTAACAATTAAATGTATTTTAATAACTTGTGTTTTTTATCAAAATAAAAATAGAATGCAATTAAGAGAATCAAAAGAATAAAAAAAAAAGGATTATTTTTCTTGTTTGAATTACAGTTGCAATAACAATAATTTTACCTGATAGGAAACGCCTGGTTTATGATTAGCGCGCAGAATATTCATAATACTTTCAGCTGCCCGTACTGGTACCGTGCTTTTCTCCACAATTATTTTGTCTCCTGTCGCAATTTCCGCGATCATTCTGGCAGCACTCTCTACATATTTCAAGTCAGCCGCTCTCCCTTTGCCATTACCGAAGGTTTTCGTCGGAGTATTCACCGAGATGAATATTAAATCGGCCTCCTTGATTGCCGTCTCGATGTCGGTAGAAAAGAACAAATTTTTTCCACGGCATTTTTGGACAACTTCGTCTAAGCCCGGCTCGTATATTGGCAACTTCTGCGAATTCCATCGTGCTATTCTCTCCTTGCTCTTATCAACGACGGTTACTTGAATTTCCGGGCATTTTAAGGCAATAACGCTGCACGTGGGCCCACCCACATAGCCAGCTCCCATGCAGCAAATTTTTCGGACTCTCGTCATCTTGAGAGACTGTTATCTGGCAAATTTTAATATTGTAATTTTATTATATTTATTGCTTTATAAGAATTATAATTGTAAAAAGTTTGAAATAAATTTTATATTACAAGAAAAAATGTTTCATTAACTTTTATATGTATAAAAAAAAAGGATCGTACAGCATGATACAGATGCAATAATTTGCTTAATTAAAAATTGGATAGAATTTAAACGTTAGAAAGAATTAAATAATTAGTTAATTTCCTTCTTTTTCTTTATTATGATCAACAGTTATGACCTGTAGTTATGTGTAAGAATACATGACTTCCTGGCTGTTAACATAGTCTATCACTTCAAATTAATGAACAGATAAACAGAATTGCATAACAATGGTATCATGTCATGTCAAAATTATCTAAATTACTTTTCAAAATAGATTGTTTTTAGGTCATAAAAATAAAATAGATATTTCGAACGAAATAAAATGTTTAATTTTTTTTATTAAGCTATACAATTTTTGCTAAATAATTTCTTGTGATAAGAAAATTGTTAAATCGGCTAAATGTAATAAAAAAGCAATTACAATATAAAAAAAACAAAATAAAAATTATATTAAAAAATTGTTTTAAACTAAAATAATAGACACGAAAAAAACACTTTCATCTATTTTTACGCAGGAAATGATATTCCACAGGAATGTTCTTGTCGCTCAAATATAATATCAACTTCCGGAAACTGATAAAAATATATCTACCGGCATTTTTGACAGCGTACGTCAACCGAGATTTATCACGTATCCGACTACTGTTTATACTTATTCCATTAATACTTGTCAATACAAGATCTTCCCTTTACTTATCCTTCCTCGAAATATTATATATAATTTATTATAATATATTAAAATTGTCATGTTCACATAATTCGACGAACTGAAAAAGCTAGATATTGAATTAAACACTGGAAGATAAATATTCTCCTTGATGGAGCGTTTTGAACTACTATGACATTTTCTGTTTTACTCGAGATTCGAAAATATATGTATTCGATTTTATTACCTGTCCGGCTCAGAATGGCTGATTCTCTGAAGAAACGGACTCCGTGGAAATTAGTGAAGATGTGACATGAAACCAAAGTAATCCGAAAGACAAGCTACGACCTATTACAATTAAAGAGATGCGAGCAGCTTCTCCAACGGTAAGATAATTTCGTTTATAACAAAAAACTGCGATACTATAGCGATATTAAATCGCGTTGTAATTGCACTTTTCATATTCCAAACTCTCTAGACACTATACGGCCATCACTTCGTAATGCTACTACGAGTGTGCTAGATAAATGAAGGTGGAGAAATGTCGAGGCCGCAGCGAGGCCGCGTCGTCGCGCAGTCGTCGTATCCACATTACCATCTCCAGATGTTGTACGGCGCATGCGTAAAAATTAGCAACGTTGCAACCATAGACGTGATAACATGTAGTAAGGAAAATAAAGGCGCAGTGCTACCAATTATCTCTTACTCTTACATGTGAGAGAGAAAACAACTTATTAAAGCTTTCTTTCTCTTTTTAAATTCTGTACACTTTCAACACATGAGTAATCTATACTTATTATTATTGTCTATGGCTAAACACCTTTCTGAAATCATATGATAATCATTTACATTGATTTACATCATATATTATCAATATTTAATTCAAAATCTACTTTGGATTTAGCTTTAAATTTTTTAATATATCCTTTAACGCCTACTGTATGTGAACGCATTCAATAATGACGGTCGAACAATGGAAGTTACACAGTGATAGTGTTTCAGAGAATCTATACTTGCTAATCATAGTTTTATTACAAAACTAACTACAGTGTTAAATGATGCAGAAATTAAAGTTGGATTTGTTTGATATTTCAATGTTAATAATTGAAAAATTAATATGTATTGTTTAATCACATAATGTGTCATGTATATTGTTCTGGAAAATCATTCATGTTCTTCACTTATAAATCACATTTTGTATCAAAACAGTAAATGTATAACGAAAATAAATGATTAAAATTACATATGACATGTAAAGAAAATTTATTTATTATACGACAATCGTTATCTGAAACAAAAAATTTATTTGTGATAGAAGAAACATAACCTAATGTACAAATAAACATAACCTGTCAAGTGTCAACAAAATATCTAAAAATCAAATCAAGTTGAGGGCTGTTACGTGCAGCTACGTAATAGATAATTTTGAATAAATCGGGATACGTTTATGAAAAGTCTTTATTAGGTATTGCTTATTCGAGCTGTGATCGAGAATTGAACTGATGAGATAGATCTTCGTTCCAAGTGCTCTAGGAAATTCATAGAGGTGGAAGGTTTTATTGAAGAGAAAAGGTTTTATTGAAGAGAAAGTGCGCCTAATGCACAGGAACAGTGATTAGGCTAACCCACGTTTTTTGCAATTATAGAAGGGTCATTTGTTAGGGTCTGGAAAGAGTAAAGATAAAGATGGTTTGAAGATTCGAATAAAAAAGGGTAATTAAGGGACCAAAAAGTTGCGGCACGTAACAGGGCACGTCAAATAAAAAAAAATAATCAATGATATTTAATAGTTTATAAATTATAAATATGATTGCTTTAATTTATATTTCATGATTAATAATAGTAAAGTAAAATATTAAAGTAGTCATTCTATGTGATCTTACAGTTAGATTTTACAAATTCTTAAATGTAAAATGATTTTTATACTTGTTGGAGAACATATTGGAACTAGCATTAAATTATGATGAGCTTTCAGCAGTATATAATGCAGGATGTCATTAAGTCCATTATTTCAGATCAAGCGGATATAAATAGTAATGCGATATGTTTCTATTACATAAATAATTTACATAAACTTAGTTGACATGTAATTTTTAATTTTTAATTAACATTAATATATAACTTTATTACCTTTAAATCCAACATTTATAGCAAACATTATGTAACTCATTTTACACCATCATATAAACCAATAAAATACAAAATGTTGGTTCCAGAGTATTGAAAATAGCATATAGTTAATTATTTATTAAGAAATTGAGATGAATCAGAATCAGGTAGAGTCATTGCACTCTTGACACAATATATTTCTTATTTCGACAAGACCACTCAACTTGCCTATGCAATATTGCAATAAAATTGTAATTGTAATCAATTTTGTTATATATGTTTATTTTAATTTTAACTATTTGTTATCGATATGCATAAAATATGCATGCATATAAATAAGAGTTTGATAGAATCAATTTATAGGTAATCATCATTTCATGGATGAAGTCTTATGATAATTTCTGAATCAAGTCATTCATTAACATAAGATTACATTAATAAATTGTACGTAACTATGTATCAAATATATATGTACATGTTTATTGAAAAAGTAATAGATGAAAGTATCTATATAACTTTAATTTTAACTAATCTAAGATATTTTTCTCCTAGTAATTAATTAGTTTTGTATATTTATAAAAAAAACTATACATATAAAATCGTTATTAATATAGTATTTTCTTCTGGGAAAATTCCCAGATCGACATGCTTAGCTCGATTTATTTTAAGAATAGAAATAGATGCATATTTAGTCGTTGGAGGAAGAAAGAGCAAAGAAAATAAATGCTGAAAATGCATCTAAAAATGAACAGGCAAGTATATATATGCATCAACCGTGCCAACAATTTCCCTGCCAATTGTTAATTTTTCTTCATAAGATTGCATACTACTCTATTTAATCATTTGTTATGTTTATGACATAATGCACAAATATATCTCGACGATTTAAAATTCAAGCCTAAAAAATGGCAAAGATACGACGTGGATCGTAATTTCGCGCGTTGCCTGATCAGCTGATATTCCTGTTTGTTTTCAGTTAATATCGGAAATCGGGGGTGGGGTGGAGAGGGGATGGGTTCCGAACAACGGAACTCACTGCTGTTAAAGAACGTGGTAGAGAGCACGAATTGTTGCTAGCGTTGACTTGAAGATAGGTGCTTGACGCACAAGCATCTGTAACAATTAAACGTAAGCAAGTGACCGATTTTAATCGTCGCAGCCCGCAGTGCTGTGACACGTTATTTTTCCTCGTAACACAAAATGACCGTCCGATGTGTTGTTCCCCGTTTTTCACAAGCGTAAATTGAGGCACGTTTAGCCAAACATCATCGCAATATAATGGATAGCGTGACAGTAAGTAGACTTTAACCTCATGGTGATGTGCGTCTCTTCACACCTCGTTCGACTCATGCATGTTTCCAACTACTATTTTTATCTACTATCTGTTAAACGATTTAGCAAGTAATCAATATCTCTTGTCGATGTATTTTGATTTTGATGTATTTTGTTTAGAGAATCAAAGAATTGACAATGTGAAAAATATATATAAAATAATAGTGTAGAAATTGATTCATTTTTTCCATTTTTAATGAATAGATTTATTCATGAGAGTTGCATTTTATGGATTAAGTTTTGTATTTTTCCCCTTTTTTATTACAAAATCTCTGAATTATATCAATTTTATTTTTATAAATAGAATGCAACTAAATATCAAATCTATGAAATTAACTGGATAAAATTTGTTGGTTGAACTTGATTTTAATATTTATTATTTTGTATATCGAATATTTTGTATTTTGTGTATTGTATATTTCAAAACCATAATAGATATTGTCTGTTTCTTTTTATAATTATATGGATATATATTTAACTCTACTATTATTGTTTTTTATAATACACCATACTGAATGAAGTTTTGTATTTTCAGGGAATAATATATGCAATGTATCGAGGATTTGTGGACAGTTTAAAGGGTGCTATTGTTCTCTTTTATATAGATAAGCAAATTAATGAAAAATTAGTCAGAAAATCTCCTACCAGAGCAGACCTCAGAAGAAGAGATCTCGTTACGCAAAGTCCCTCCAAGAGTAAACAAAGGTATTTTTATCATCATCTCGTGTCTGCAAAAAATAAGCGTAATAATATTTTCTAATCTGCTTAATTTTAGAGAATCTACAGTGCTGAAAAGAACTTTGCAATGTTGTGCACTGAATGGTGCAGTGTTGGGGGTTAGTATATACATATTTGATTCTGGACTCTTGCCACTTGTGAAGTACTTATTGACTATTATATTCGGCCACTCTCCTGGTATGGGTCTTATTGTTTGGTCATGGATCCAACCATTTTTATCTCTTATATTTAGCACAATATGGGTACTACCATTATTTTTGCTCAGCAAAATAGTTAACAGCTTATGGTTTCAGGTAAGACTTTCCACAAACTTTAATTGTATTCATTATTCACAAAAATAGTAATATAATTAAATACTGATGAGATATAAATATAATGTATTTATAAATTCCATAGGACATAGCGGATAGTGCTTATAGATACAGACAAGGAAGGCCATTGCTTTTGTCAAGCGTCAGCAAATTGATAGCTGATACACTTTTCAGTATATTTGTTCAAATGTTATTCCTGGGACAAGGAATGTTGGTGTCCAAAGTACCACTAAGACCATTAGGAGAAATTCTTGCCCTTGTTCATTTGTGCCTTTTATATGCTCTCTATGCCTTTGAATACAAATGGTTCAATATGGGCTGGGAGTTGCATAGACGATTAACTTTTATTGAGGGCAATTGGCCCTACTTTTTAGGCTTTGGTATGCCATTAGCGCTACTTACCAAAATGCCCAATTCTTATATTATAAGGTACGAGATATTTTCGTAATTGTTGTTTTCTTAACAGATATAATAACGTCTATTAATATCTAAAAATATTGATTTCTGTCTTTGTTTAGTTAGTTTTTTTTTAGAAAGATGCAGAATTTTAAACAATCAATGCAATGTGAAAATAAAATTCATTAATTTCCATAAATTTTTGCTATAGAAAAATTGATTTTGCATAAATCTACGAATTAGTAGCTTAAAGAAAGAAATGGTTCTAAAGCATCCTAATATATTTATAAAATGTATTTATATTTTATTTTTAGTGGCTGTGTTTTTTCCATTTTGTTTCCACTGTTCATTGTAAGTGGAAACGAAGCGGAACCCGTAACTGGGGTATGGTATGTATCTAAATTATTATAAAACATAATATTTAATTTAACACAATATTTTATCATTTATTACGTTTAACATATGAATGCATTGTTGCAGCGATTGCCAGCTGAAATTATTTTCACCAGTAATCGCAATCGCGAACACATTATTTAATAAAACCATCGGACGAGCTAATATACGGTGACAGTGAAGACATATGAAAAAATGAATATTCATGCCTAATTTATGCCATTTGCATGTCAAATTTAAAAATTACAAAAATTTGTTACAGAAAAATTCATGCAAAAGTAATAATTATATAAAGTAACGTTCACAAAGTGTTTGGATATCTATTGCTTGCTATTGCAGGGAATATTTTTTTTATTTAACCCAACTACAAGTTTAAGAATGCAAAAGGTATGTTTATTTTTTGACATTAAACAAGAAAGTATATAAAATATTATAAATTTTATATTTTTTTCTATCATCTTTTGAAATATGAAAACAATACTTGGCTATATTTGAATTGGTATGTAGGGCCAATCAGTACAAATATTTATTTACGCATATGTAATAATGCACGTATAGTTATTCATATGTGTGATGTACTTCATTCAATGATATCGCCGATATACAAATTATGTATTTCTCAATTTTTATGAGAATTCATATTTTAAGCTTTTTACGCTGTAGCTAGTCATTTTTCAATATCGATTTGTGATCTCCATTCGGCGCTGTGCTATAAACGTGTATTATAAACATATGCTATAATATCAATATGTCATTTGTGGCAGCTAAAATACCCAATCTAGTTATGATATAATCTTGATATACAATAGAATAGCTGAAATATAACTCCAAATATTAAAATATAAATCTAAACAATACACTGCTGTTGTGCGCCATACATGACTATTTTATATTCATCTTTAAAAGTGTTCTATTTAACAGAAGTTATTTAATTTAAAACAAATTTAGATTATACATAAGAGCGCCAATAGAAATATTATAATCAGTTAAGTCTATTGATCCTAATTAAGTATGTATTGTGCCATACATATCATTTACGAGGAATGATTCATTCGAAAATCATGTAAAATTAAAATGAACTAAAAATATCATGATCATATGATAAACTTTGCTAATAATGTAAGAATATATCAATTTGTATGATAAAATTAGGGAAATAATGATTATTACATTTGTCATAAATTACTGATTTTATATACTATGGCTTAAATAAATATTATAGAACTATTGAAAAATACCTTGCTCACAATTGTGACAAATGTAGTCCAATTAAGTTCAAACAATAACATAAGAACCACAAAATCTTCGTCACAGAATAAAAATTAAATCTATAGTAATTAATAAAACTTTTAGTTTAAGAATGTTTTATTCATGTGTGAGATATTTTATTTATTTTTAATTTTAATATAAATTGTATGTGATATCCGGTTTATAATATTAATCAAGCGAGAAGATCTTGAAGCGCTAGTAAATCATGATCTGAAGGTTCTTCCTTTACTCTGTAAGAGTTCAAAGTATAATGCCTATGTAATGCTGCAAAACCGAGCCCTGGATCAGTTTCCACTTCTGTTACTGGACTCGTAGCTCGATCGATTTTGCTTACCTATAAAATATAACTTCTAAATGAAATAATAAATCTTGGTAATATTTTGAACTTAAAAGTTAAACTTAAAACGGAACTTGAAAATTTCAAAACACAATATCCTAAATTTTTTAATTGCAGATTTTTCTTTACATTTAAAACGTTCTAGCGCTTCAGAAAATTTGATAGAAATGTTTTACTAGATGTAATAATTTTTAATCTTCTATCATTAAAAAGTTACTCATAATTGGTGTACAAATAATGTTTCTTAATTTAAGCGTTGGTCATGATTAAAAGTCCAATAATTTAAAAATATTATATACATACTTCAAAACGTTGTTGTTTGTACATAGCCAATTTACGTGTTCCAGGAGAACTTTGTATTAAATTTTGTATTGTAGGATGAGAAATCCCAAAGAAATCCGCACCCTTTGGCATTATTGAACAAAGTGTCGGAGAAATTGCTGCCAACAATTTTGAGTGACACTCGTCAGGACTGGATCCGACTAGTGGCTGATCCAAGTCATTATCAGACACTATTTCAAATCTATAAACAATAAATTGTATATTTGTATCCTAATTTTTTCTAAAAATGATTATTCTCTCAAATTGCTCCTATATTTTCATACCTAGGTTTTGGACCACCGTCTAGTATTTTACAGGTATACAAGCTTTTTGTTCTCGGGTCTCTCAAATTGGCATATACTCTTGTACTACAATATCCTACTGGAAATATAAGATCTTCTGTATGATACGCAATTCTGTCTGATACTACTTCACCAAGAGAATATATTGTAAGGTCTCCCAAAGCTATGGGAAATATTGGTCTACCATGAACATCTAATGGAATCAGTTGCACTACTCTTCTGGCAGTTTTGTTATATCTCTTTGTTTTACTCTTTGATTCTGCAAAAAGTTTAAAAAAGAAAATTTTCATATAAAAATACACTAATAGATTAGAAATATTCTTTGAATCTAATTTTAGTAAATATTTTAAAATATACTAACATTGGCAACAAGCTATTCAAATTCTTGAAATTTAAATGATATTTTTACAGTCTCAATTGATTGTAGAAAAATACCTGATCCTTCTGTAGAAATTCTTTTTTTTACTGTCTTTTTTGGTGTAACACCATCTGGATTAAATAACGGTGAATTTACATTATTTGACTGTGAACGTGCCATCATAGAATTAGACTCTATTTCTCCCAATTGCTGGCATAATTTGCGTAGAAGAAACAATCTCTCTTCTTTAACAAGCATCAGATTCTCTTGCATATGTGCAACCTGATCGCATAGTGCTGCATTTTCCTGCATTAAAATTACATCTGTTGTCACATAATTACAAATAAAGTATAAAATATAGTTCTTTATATAAGCTCATAAAATATTAAAATTATGTTTACATTAAGACTTACAAATACAGTATTTTTCACAATCCTTTTAAGTTTCTGGTATTTTTTCTTGTATTTTATGTTTTGTTCTAATTCAGCATTTTTATGATAATCATTGTAGTAACTATCATATGCTTGGGCCATATTGTATTTATATTAATAAAATATTTTACTTGCAAAAGAGAAACTGTATGTTTATATTATAACGACTGACAACTGTTTACCAACTACACAATAGGTTATATTTAGTATGCGAAAGTGCAACAGAGTACCACTAAAGAGATAAAGTTCAACATCGTTGCGATTAGTCGCTACTTCAATCTATCGATATTGCAATATCGAGTATTGCAATTCACCTTTCGATAAATCTCGAATTCCAAAAAGTGAAATATGCGTGATAAAATGCAGAAAAAATATAATTTGTTATAAAGTATATAAAAAAACATCAAATAATTATACCGAATATTTCAATTTATTTATGATATAAAATATTTTATCAAAAGATATTATCGTATTTTGTGTTAAGTTCACGCGCAGTGACAAAATAAATTGTTTATTTTTATACATTTTGAAATATTTCAACACGTGCGCGCGCCATCCATAAATTACTAATGTAGATAATTTCACGGCGCGTCGATTTTCAACGTAGAAAACATTTCGTAATTAATTGCGTATTTTGTTCGTATTAAGATTGCATAACAAGTGAATTTTAATCGGGAGTGCCGATTAAGTGACGGGCGATTATCGTAACGTGTGCAGGTGTTCACAGTTAACGATATTTACGTCGTGATTAGTGTTGCGAAGTGAAAATGAAATCGGTACGGTAGTAGGGTTAGATCTTGTACGCCGGAAATTTAGTTCGTTGTGAATTGAATCTGATAGAATATAATTATGCGCGCATTGATATGGTATAATCATCACTGGCCTAACTCGCTCAAAGTAAATGTATATGTAACATCGAGTGGACCAAGAGGAGGTGTCAAACAAAAGATATGAACATTTGTATGGCTCAGGAGGAGAAAGCACCGATGAGGTAATTTGTCATTTATTTGTTATTTATTACTTGTGAGACATTAATTGTTTATCTCTGCAATGGTCACATCGTGTGTCGCATCGTGGCGTAATATAATCTTTTTATTTCACGAATATTTATTACAAGTATTAAAAACTGTGCTTTGACAATTATATCCTTTATCCGCAGTCTACAATTTTTCAAACAAATAATAAAATACAACTATACTTTCTCTGTATTAAACAATAATAATTTTAAAATTTCATACAATTCAAATATGCAATTTGTTATTTTTAAATTACTTTTGAAAATTCTATTGGTCTTTTTATGTTTGTGGAGAAAAATTTAAAAAATTGAGGATTGAAAGGATAAATAATTTCATGAGACAAGATTTATTTCGAAAATACGATTTATTAACCTGCCGAACCTAAATTCTGTGACGCGTGCGCTCATACGCATTTACACGCGCACACCTCGCTGTCGCACGCGCTCCTCCGCATATTCTCACACACGCGATATATAAAATCTAAAAGGTCGCTATACTTAAACACCGTGACTCGTAGCTTGTCCGATAAACGTTATGCTATCCTAGAAATCGTGTTAATTATTATGTCGATGCGAGTTGCTCGATCGTGCGCGATCGTCACCGCTGTCGTTACAACGATTACACAAAACTCTGCAGGACATGATGGTACACCGAAGACATCCATTCTTCACTTTGAGACTCGTTTTGTTCACACTTCATTTATTCTAGCTTGTTTCTCGTAAAAAATGTACGCCATCAATAGCCCGCAATCTTGATCGTCGGTGGAAATCTTATTAGAAATACAATAATTTAAATCATATCCTTCAAATTTAATAAAAAATTGTATGTTATTGAAAATATATGAATATAAATATTAGCATTTTCGGTTACTATTGCCCTATCTAAATCGAAGGATGATCCTGCTTGTTCATCCGAGTGGACAGTCTGATGAGTGAAAATTATACTCAAGTTGGTTTTTAATCGTATCAATTGTATTAAACAATTTTTTTATCCAATTAAAAAGAATTATTTGGGTTAATACAATTAAAAGCCAACTTTAGTATAATTTTCACCCATCAAATTATCCACTCGGAACAAGTGAATCATCCTTTGGGCTAGACTGGGCATAAATGACATTCAAACGGTAAATACCACTTCTATAATTATCACTATATGCACTTTAAAAAATACTCAAACTACTTGCTGAATTTTTGTACATTTTTATATAATTAACTATATATATAAAAAATTATAGATGCTTTCCACGAACGATCAATCCTCCTTTAATCGCATACGAGCGATACTACTCTTATTAAAGCTCAGCGGCGGATTTATGAATATATAAAGTACTGCTTTGTTTTCTCTCTCTCTAGACAATAATAAACTTAAAAATATAAATTAATATATAAATACTTAGACTTTTTAGCATTTTTTTTGTGTTTTTAATTATAAACTTGATTTAAATGAGAATTTGATTTTATTGTATGCTTAAAAAAAATTGCATAATTAATTGTGCCTAAAACCAGCACCTTTGGAAAAAAGGTATCCTTACTAAACACATCTATATATTACAATATTTTTTTGCAACTTTAATTGAAACGTTTCCTCAGCGTAATCGCTTTTGTACTCATTAAATTAATTGCTAAGAGATATATTACGATTGCAGTATTATTTTGTGACTATATTTTAACTGGAAAGAATAAACACGAGTCTGAAACATCGATACTATGTACAAAACACAATGCATTGACGTCAAAAAGTTAAGCTATGTTAAGTATATCGCATTTAATATAAACACGCTAGACTCGTGTTTATTACTGATAACATGATTGTCACAAATAAGACTACAATCATAAAGAATTACTTTATTCATTTATTATTAAAAATAAAAAAAATTAATGTAAAGCCATAAATCCGACGCTGTCAGAAATGTATTTTACATAGTGTGCAATTCTTTTATTATCACCCGTGTTAGCGAGATTAAGCTAATCTACAAAATTATTTTCCGACCTTGTATTCTTAACGACCTCACAGTCAGAACAAGTGCCTCGAGACAGAAAGAAAATCTGTACGCACATGCAAATTTGTTTTTATCTAATCAGGATTACTCGTTTACAATATTAAGAGTAACTTTCTCGATTAGGCTGCATCGTTTAGGCAAATTTTAACATTTGCAATTTAATTATCGAAAGAACCGTTGTTCAACAACGTACATATTTGGCGATATAACCGAATTTGTGCGACAAATACTTCCCATACTGTGAACTCGAGCAAAATCAACATTTGTTCTGTTACGAGAACAACAATCAAATTTATTATACTTTACTAGATTTTATCATAATGAAAATAATTCATTTAATTCGTGAAATTCAGAAACATAAAAAACTGCTCGATTGGTTGTTTCAAATGTTGCAATTTATTGGAAGTGAAAATGCTTTAATTTTCGTCGAAGTAATTAATTTGCGCTATTTTGCGAGTTAATTGAGTTTGCATAGTTGGTTTACGAGTCAATATTTATATGAATAATATGTAGGGTCGGTTCTAGACGCGAGCGACATGAGAAATAAAATTATAAGGATGATAAAAGAGTAATAACAGTTACATTTGTAGTGCAAAGAAAAATATAAAGTTTTTAGTTACTTTAAATATTATAAATATTATTTTTTTATTAAAATTTTATAAAATGTGCTTATTTAAAACACACATTATGCATGGAAGTTAGATTTAAATTTATATGACTTTCATATTTTCTCTCGATAAATTTTTCAAAAATTGAAAAAAAGAACAAATTATCTCATTCTATTAACTAGCGCAACTAGTCTCCATGCATGTATGTCTCAAATTAGCTGTGTATTTCAAGTTATCACTCTTTATATCAATAGATATGTGCATTTGTTATGGGCATGAGTTTTATCCACGCGCACTTGCGATCTAGAAAGGGCCCCAATCATGGAGATCGAACATCGATAGCGACACACATTTTAGAGATGGTTATTCTTAATCCCGATCGGCCGATATTTTTAATTGCAGACGCAATTATCCGCTGACTACATGCAATTTTTTTTAGATACATATACTAGCTACGATTTCACTAAGCGCGAATTACGGATGCAATTAACAATCAGTCGACGGCCATCGATAACGAGCTTTGTCATCGTTACTCGCGCCTTTTGTCTGTCGATGAATGCCATTTGCAAAATCTAAAAAACGGTTCGAAGGTACACCTCGGAATATAAAAAAGAACATCTAACGCGTTAATTTTGTAATTTCTCATTCTACAGCACAGCTCAACGTTTATTCTCTCATACCGGTGTGTTCATATATGAACAATAGTCTACGTATGGAATATATGATGTCTATTATATCAAATAATTTGTTCGTATTTTTCCTCAAAAATATTTTAAGTGAAGAATATTAATAAAAATAGAAGTTATATATATTTAAGTTCAATAATTTTATATTAAAACATATTTTTCTGTAACACGTTTCTACTTTTAATGCTTTTAGATACGAGATCAAGATAATGTTATGAACATCAGTTAAACTGTCATTCAATTTATTATTATTTGCTTTATATCCGTAAATTAGATAATATCATGTTACATTTTACTGCGCGCGTTAATACAACAATCTGGTTTCAAGTTTTGGGTGATCTAAATATCACATTTACTGTTATTAACAGACTGAAAATTATATGGCCACATTTAGCACTAAATGAGATATGAATACGGGCCGTAATTTGCGTGAGTAGCGCTTCAGATATTCTACACGTAGACTATGCGTAGACTTTCAACACTATTCCATACACTTCCATGCACTCACTGGAATAATCGCTGACGCGTGTACACAGTGGCGCAGCTCCGTTAGAAGCGAAATGCGCATCGTGGTCCGTTAAACGTTGCTATGTACAATAGTTACATGGACTCGTCTCTACAAGTTAAACACTCAACATTATGATTGGTATTTACATGATAAGAGTAACAAACTTGGCAACCGTCGCTAGTTTGTTCTATTCCGCAGCATCGATACACATTCAAAATTTCTCATTGAACAGAGCTGCTATATCGCAGGACATAATTATTTATTTTTTAAATATTTTTTTATCTATAACATGTGTCGGATAATTGCTTAACAAAAATCTCAAGTATTATTTTTCTTTTTAATTAGGATTTTGTCAAACTTTTTGCATTTTCCTGATCAAATACCTAAACAATATCGCCTTTGAGAGA